AGCTCCTGCAGACACCAGCCCGGATCCGCTTCCACCGTGCAAATGGGATCTCCGGTGATGGCTCCAACCACCAGAACCTCGATGGAATTCACCTCCATGTCCTCCATGCGAAGGCATTGGCCATGCGAAGCTACGCGGCCGCGCAGCCGCGAAGCGCCATGGATGCAGCTTGGAAAAGATGAAGCTTTACTGACGGAATGGGTTATCGAATATTGTTGGCTTGTGCCGGCATAAGCGCGGCAGAACAACTTGGTGAAATGCGATATCAGTTGTTTTACCAATTCGCAAAATGGCACAAAACTGTGAAATGATCAGTGGTGCTGGGGCTCCGTCCTCCTCATGAGAAGTTTTTGCTGAAGTCTCCACGTCATGCGAATTATTGCATGCGATAGAATGTCACTGCAAGGCGTCTTGACATTGACCTTCAAACGGCCGCTAAGCAAACGACGGCACACACGTATCATATATATATATATATCATATATCCTTTTGAGGGCTCCGAATAAAGCTTGCCAACACGCAGGCGCTTTTCCAGCTGGCACGTGTCAGAAGATCGAAATCTCTGATGGCGCCTCGGCACACAGGCAGGCGAACAAGCAGGAAAACGTCGCCGAACTGAGCCACACACGGAATCGGAGCTCTTAGCCTAGGCGGCAATGTGGCTCCAGGAAGAACCACGGGCCGAATGCGTCGGGCCTTCTCGCTCTCGGCTCGAGCGCGCCTAGCAAAACAGAGCAGCAGCAGCAGCAGCAGCAGCAGCAGCAGCAGCAGCAGCAGCAGCAGCAGCAGCAGCAGCAGCAGCAGCTCTGGAAAGGATGCCATGCTCCTCTCATAGGGTGCTCTCAATTGAAAGAGTGGCTGGGTTTAGCCTGAATGGGCTATAGGCATCCCGCCTCTTCAACCGCTCTGCTTCCCGCTTTGCATCCAGTTCAGCCTAGGGTACCCACAGCGAATCTTTCGGTCTCCACATCGGTTCCTAACATGAGAGAGACCCAATGCTGGTTGGTTCCTGCCAGCTTCTTTTGCCAAAATGCTATCCCAAACAGGGTCGCTCAATTTGGATGCATCAACATCTAAATTCCAACTTGGACAGCAGGCTCCCCCAGTAAAACCAATCTCCGAGTTGCCAGCCCAAATGCGCTGTTGCTCGTCCCACTCAGCCTCAAGCCGCCTGGCAAGCAAGCGATGATGATTATGATGATGATGATGATGATGATGATGATGATGATGATGATGATGATGATAATGATGATGATGATGATGATGATGATGTTGATGATGTTGATTATCGGACACCGCTGGAAAGGTTAAAGCAACAACAAACGTCAACACAACGTGTGTCTAGGGTGTGATGCCCCCGTGTGTTTGGCGTGCGAGGAAGGATCCCTAGAAAGAATGGGGATGATACGTCTTGATTCTGCCGGTACCTGTTGACAGCTTGCAACTGGCCGAGCTGCTTCCTGTAGGCAATCGCCAGCTCTTTGCCGCGCTCAAACCTCAAGCAAGCGCTGTGCTACTGAGCTGCCGAGCTGAGTTCGTCTCTGAGAAGCGGTCCCATAGATGGCAACCCGGAAGTAACAGCTACACCTGAGCTGAGCCGCAGCAACCTCCCAAGCGAATGGACATCAGGCCTCACGAAGAAGTTGTGATAGTGGTCCTTCCTATCGAAGGTCACTCGCCATCCACCTCAACCCCGAAAGCCAGGCATTTCTCATTTCTGGCCGGGGCCAGCTGGTATGGTGCCAGCGCATCTTGACGGGGGCCCGGCCGACAGCATGCCATCGAACACCCTCGCATCGCCAATGCGGCGCGAAGGGCCGCTCTGGTGGTGCTACATGCGGAACAAGTCATTGTCACATGCGCGGCTCCTTGACATTGCACTTGTACCTCTCCCAGTCGATCACGCCCACTAGGCGTTTTGCCTCAATGTGTGAAGGCATCCAAAGGTTTGAGAGACTTGAGCACCCTAAAAATGAGAATTGCACGGGATTTCATGAATTTTATCCACCAACCATTGTTGCGGGGGCCGAGTTCCCCTTTGCTTCTTTCCGCCAAATGGGGTACCCACACATCGACTGGCCTCCACCGTGCGTGTCGCCAGCACCCGGCGAATGGGGCCCGACGCTAGCAGAGACAGCGGCAAAGGCTGGTAGCCCTGGACGTGTCATGGCCCCACTCTCGCAGTTTGCAGATGTGTTTTTGAGGCTCGGTGCCCTTTCTCAGCTTCCCTCTAAGTGGTTTAAGGAGGGATCTTCCATTTACCCTCCACGAGAACCAGGTTCACCTCCCCAAACCACCCCATCCAAACCACCAACCAAGGGTTAGATGACTTTCCAGGTTCGTTTGAAGGGAATCCACAAGAAAAACAGAAAAGCTGACACCCTGACACTAAATAGTCAAGGCAACAATTCCAAGTCCCAAACCTCAAACCAACCTCAAAGGACGACCTCGCTTTGCCCTGGCTGGTGGATACCACCGCCAATCATGTGAACATGACGATTGGATCTCTTGGATCACTTCGTCATGCCATGATCATCTGTGTCTGAAGAATAGTTTTGAAGGGTGCGAGTTGCTCGGGGAGAAAACAAACAAGAGCGAAACGGACCAGGGTGGACTCGAACCACCATTGACATGGCGTTCAAGCATTGCTCGACACAATGACGCCTTATCCATTAGGCGACTGATCCTGAGTGCAAATCAACTTCATTAACTTAGCAGCATGCGCATGCAATGGTTGATGGTATTGGTGCTGTTGGTGTTGCTGGTGTTGTCGAAGCAAACACAACCTCAGCGCCGGAAACCAGCCATTTGGGCAGAAAGGGACACCGAAGGGGGAAAATGGATCTTGACACATACTCACATGGCAGCGGGTCAAAACGTACTCCCTGCGCACGGCCTCGGGTTTCGGCTCGTAGTGCGTCTCCTTGAGCTGGATGATTCTTCCGCGGGACCGCCTCCTCTGCCTACGAGAAAGGAGCGTCCTACATCAGGAAGCCAAAGGGAAGCCAAGAAAGAAACTAAGCATTGTTGGCGGCTCCCTATCTTGAAGCAAGGCGAAAAGGTGAGGCCTGACCCGCTTGGTGCCAAAGCACCTGGCACCGAGGCCGGCATCAACCGCCTCGGGACAGGATTCCACTCCTTGATCCACCCCCTTCGTATGAAATCGGGGCCTGGTTTGAAGAGGCTCCCTCGGCATGACCTCTACAAAGAAAAAGGGTGCAAGATTGCCGTGTCTAAGCCGTCCCATCAATAAAGGCACAAAAACAAAATCGGCATCAACCCCCCCCCCCCCACCCTGCAAAAAAAAAGATCGAACATCATGTCTTTGATCCCCCTCGACTGAGTCCAAGGCTGGAGCGAAGGCCCGCAGCGATCGGATGGCCCACATGGCAACTGTGGCAACTGGCTGCCTTTGGTACAATGTGGGGTGCTTGGCTGATCTCTCTGGAGTTGGGGTGACGTGATCTATGGCACCATCTTGGCTCGGGCATCGAAAGCTCGAACATGCAAGCCAAGCTGTATATACAGTAGTTCATTCCAGATTGTGGTTTACGTCGTTTGTCCCCATTCCATATCATTCCATACCCAAGGTTTTATGGCCATGCGGCATACTCCAGATCATAGAAAGCCGAGAAACCCGGACTCTGTCTAAGCTGCGGCACGTGTTCTGTTTCACCCTGTGCGGCCTGAATCATCCTTGAGATCCACAGACCAAGGCGGCTCCACCACCAAGGGTTGGGCACTACTTCTCTTAGACCCAAGCTCTTGCTTACGTATTCAGCGAGATGCATGGAGGTTTGCGAGATGCATGGAAGTTTGCTGGGGAGTTCCAAATCTGAGATACCCGTGGTAGTGGAGCAGGGTGTGAAACACGAGCTATCGCTCCCAGGGAATGCCTCAATCATCGTCCAGACGGCGCAGTGGCTCTCTCGACTCCGGGATGTTAGCATCGGTCCTGGTCTGCTTGTTCCTTACAGCCGGTGGGGGCTGGGAGAAGATTGTGCCTCAGAGACTACTGGATTCTTTTTAGCCAGAACTCGTGTTGATAGTCAACTCTGCTGGCATTTTGCAAGTCACACATGGTTAGAGTGGCCGATGGAAACAAGAATCACTAACTCGTCAGAAAGCAAACAGAGCGAAACCAAGCGCCCTTATGCCTCAAAGTTTGGAAGCTGTGAGTCATTGAAAGGTGGAATGCAGTTGACGAACAGCGAAGCAAAGCGGATCGATTCTGGGGCGGCCGCTGTCGGAGCTCCCGATTGTCTTCATTGATCTCCGGCAGGATCCTCTAACCCAGCTGTGGCGGACTGGGGCTTTCCATCGCTGGTCCTACCCTTTTGAGAGCCCTTGAAACTGACTAGTCTTACCCCCCACACGAGCTGTTCCACACCAGCTTGGGGCATCCTTCACCTGCTTGGCCCTCACCTGATGATACGGGCGGGGAGGATGTGATGGAAAGGACGCCCTTTTGCCCACCTTGGACTGCCTTCAAAGGGACACAAAAACAGACACAAAACAGTGGGCGCCCGCTTCCGGTCCTTTGCTGGCTCAAGTGGTAGAGCTTGGGATCGCCCGTCGGCCAACGGGCCACCAAGGGGTCGTAATGCTGATGTTCCACCCACCTCGACGTGGCCATTTGGAGCCCCCCAAAAAAGATCGCTTCCGCAAGGCGCAAACCAAAGGTTGGCAAACCCGAAGGGACAGGCTCCACAAATGTGAGATCAACCTACACGGGAAACAGATCTAGTTGCCAACCTGATATTGGGGTCCCAAAGACAAGACCAACCGCAAGACCTACCAGTACCAAGTACTCAAGGTTCAAGCAAAACAACACAAGCAAAAGGTTGCCAGCTTCTTCTGTGGCACTTCTTTTTGCCCAGCATCTCCACAATGCAGCCATCGTTCCGATTGTCAAGCAAGCGGGCGCCGTTGCTGTCCTGCAACTAAGTGTGGAGAGGATCACATGAGCTACGGATAACACTCTCCATTTCAAAGCCAGTTACCAAACCAGACAAAAAGGAGAAACTCACTCAAACCAAAACCAGGGGACTCACTAAATGCCCCATGTCTAATTGGGTACGACCGTACGACCCGCAACAAACTTTCACTGCTCTTTAACCCTGGCGCGCCTCTGGGTCTTCGCGAAGCGTCGTCTCCCACTGAATGGCGCGCCGGACCTTTCGTGAAGCTTCCCCCCCCCCGCCAAAGACTACAACTGGCTCGTCAAATCGGGATTTGGACACCCCAAAATGGGTGGGTGTCCTTTTCGGTTCCTTTTAAGCCCACCTGAAAAGGGCAACCGCAAAAGTCAAACAAACACCAAGAATCTAAAGTGCCAGAGTGCGCAGCGGGAACAGTGATCGGTTGGTTTGCAGGGAGTCGGCAAGCCGAAGTTGACCAAGGAAATCATTTGCCCTGCCGTTGAATCCGGCAAGGTTCATGTGAGGGGGCTCGAAATTTGGAGACAAACACATATTGGCGCTAGTGTCAATATAAAGGCCGTGCATTGAAGAGCTTTAGGCTAGCGCAAGCCCAAAGCGGTACACTGTTGATGCACGGAGTCAACCCAACCCATGTCAGCCCTAACAGCTGAAGGTTGACCATTGCCCCAGTGCACTACGAAACGCTTCCGCCCGTGATGGGAACGTCTTGGTCCTCTCTCAAGACCAAAGAAGCTGTGACCCAAGTGTTACTCTGAAAGGACTGGGTGTCGATGGTGTACTCTGGCGCTTGCATAAGGGCGACCTGACCCCTTTTTGGTAGGCTACACTCTTTGGAAAATACGGGCTTTCCAGCAGCTTTGTATTCCAAAGTGTGGACCATCCTGAACCTGAACAACCGAATCCAACCCACATAGGTGTTTCAACGGCAATAAACACACGCTGTGCTGTTGGACGCCCCAGCCTTGCGACCCCGCGAGGTGTCTTCGATGAGATGTCGCCAGTAGGCGCCCTGAGCGGAAGCCAATCCCCACCGAGCATCTGGCAGGATGGTTTGGAGCAACCCATGGTGACCACATGAGCGCCCAAAGTCTATCGACTTTTGGTAAGAAGATGGTAAAGCTTGGTGGTGCCCTTGCCATAACCCATGAAGGCAGGTAGCAAAAAGCCTGGGTTAGGCAGCCGGCTGGCATGGGGGACTTGATCCGGGGGCTTGCAGGCAGCCCTGCGCCACCCTTTGATTTGCGTGCAAAGGGAACCAACCAGGAAACCTTTTTTAGGGGTCCCATTCAGGAACTACCCATACAGACTTTAGTCCAATGCAATTGGGCTGCTCACACCCAGCCCGCGAATCCTGTTGGCCAGTGTCTCGTCCATTTTCTACCATGGCAAAGCACAGCAGAATTTACAAGACCATGCAACTTCGGCAGTGGTCGGAGCGGTGAGACATCTGTGCTACATGCCTTGGGCATCTTCCCCCAAGCAACTTGATGTGCCAACGAATGCTCAATGCTCATTCGAGAGCTTTCTATAGTTTGACGGGTCAAAACGAATGGACCCCTCCCAAATGGCAAGTTGTAGTCTCGATCTTTCAGAACTGTCCCCAAACAACAAGTTGTACCCCAGATGGGTTGATTTCCTTGCGGCTTCTCTTTAATTACCCTCGATCCAAACATTTGACATACAGCCAACTCTGCACCCGTTGCCCCTCCCTTCCAGAGTGAAAGTTCAGGAGCTCATCACCTAGAACGCCTTCTTCTCGTCCTCCTCATCCTCCTGCGCTCGAGCCAAGTGTTCGGGCAAGCTTCTTGGAAGGATGGTCATGGCCTTGGCAATCCTCGCTAAGGGGCTCACGAACATGCTGCATTGTGTTTTTTTTTTGCAAATCAACATCGACCCCCCAAAAGGGAGCCCATGGGAGCCACAGACACTCCTCTGCAAATGATGGCTTGTGGGCGTCATATCAATTTGCAGGGGGCAAAGCTGATGTAAGAATGTGTTTGATTCACGGCACAGGAATTGGTGCGCTTGCAACCGCACTCGGTGCCTGATCAGGTAGCTTGGGCATGCGGAACCCAAGGTCGCTCATCACTTTGATGATGCGCCTGCCAAAACCGAAAAGAGGGCCCGAAACCCTCTGACTATTGGTTCTAAGATGGTCATAATAGTCTTTCTGCGCCTTGCTATAATCTCAATCAAGCCAGGTAGAAGCATAGGCCTACTACGGCCTAAAATCGTCAATGGGTGTGCTGGGCACTGCTCAATTGAGGTCACGTGAAACGTAAAATGGATGATACCCAGAAAAAAAAGGCCGCCCCCCGTTAGGTTGAGGTTGGGATCCCCATAAAAGCTGGGTCAAGCAATGGTCACGCCTCTCATCTGGCTCAGCCTTGATTTTCAGGAAGCCCTCTTTGGCGCGATCATTCAGCGCCTTGCGTTCAGGTCGGGGAAAACCATGAGGTCAACGAAGGCAGGTATGTGTATACATATCATACACACACACACACATACATGTTTATATCAAGCCCAAATCTCGACTGCTGTTGTTTGAGGGCACGACTCCTCATTGACCACTTTGTGGAATGCGTCAAAGCATGTTTGGGTCCATTTGAACCCCCTAGAAGAGGTTGGTTTCTTAGATTTCCCTTTGCAGCCCCAAGCAGGCTACTCAGACGAGCCACCCATTTCACTCCTGACCCCATTTTCTGCCGGAGCGAAAGTTCGCTCTCGACCCGAATCGACTTGCAGCGCATCGGGGGCCCCAGCCAAGGTGTCGGCGCCGATGCGAGCCCGCTGGTTCTTCAGCTCCATCTGCCCAGCGTCTTGAGCTCGAGCCTCAGGACGCATCTCCAGCCAAAAAGGGTGTGGCAGTCTGTGAGGGTGTTTTTGGGGAAACCCAAAGGAAAACCAAGATGTTGCTGGGCCCACTATCTTGACACATACCCAAATCGCTGTGCAAGCCCTGATCCTGGCACAGTTTTTCGTGGGGTGGTGGAAACCCTGTCAAGGGCACTTGGCGGTTCAAAAGAATTGGGAGGTCTGGGCATGTTGGAACCCTCTTCCATACTGACGCAAATACTGCATCCAGGCCCTACTATGGCTCTTTGGTGTGGGGTCAAAACTCAAAGCCCTTTTGGTTAATCTAGTTGGACACACATGCCAACTGGTTGTGTTCCTTTTGATGTCCTTGAAACAACATCTACTAATTGACTGGGGGTGGAATGAGCTCGACGCTTCTTGCCACATGATGCCGGCTTCAGGTCTCAAACCGCAATACCCCCCTAGTTTTGACACTGGCAGCCCCTTTGGAACTTTGCCTCGCCCCGGCCTTCGCTTGTCCCTCCGCGATCTTGATCACCAGGGCTTGGGTTTGCGCCTCAGCGCGCCCCGATGCGATCCCCAGAGCACCGTGCGAGCGTCTCGCGGGCATTTTTTTTGGGGCCGCCGCATCGCGGGATTGCTGGATCTCTTGCATCCGGCGCCTGGTTGGCGTGGGTAGGTTTCGGCCCAACATTCTTTGAAGGTGGGACAGATTGCTGCGGCAATGTTCTGCGCACATCCGCGAACTTGGGTTGCAACACCTTGACAGCTCGCAACTCAAAATCGTGGACAGGCGGTTTGAGTGGATGCCGGAGAAAGCCAAAAGGACAACAACCATTTTGATGGGGCCCTTCAACCAGCGAAATGTGGCAGCCTCTGCAGCTCGCCCCAGGTCTTGTACTTCACCTGATCCACGGGTGTGCCAAAAGTGGCAAGTAGCACCAAGACAATGCAAAAAGAACAAGAATGGAGTGCACTGAAGTTGCTAAATGCAAGTGAACATGTGCCCAAGGCTTGCATTGGCCGACCTCCTTGTAGGAGTGGATGTCGTTCGCGCACTTCAGTTTCAGCGCCATTCTCTCCTGAACATGCTGCATCAAGCCACAAGCGCCACAAAAGTGCAAATCGCGTGTGACGAGTATGAAAAAGTGTACATGTGGACAGGGAGCAGCCGGCCATCTCATTTTCCAAACACGTGGGTGTGTTGACAAAATGGGGACAAATCCAGCCAGCCGTCTGATTTCGCGCGGCAAAACGAAAGCCAAGAGTGCTGTATGCTGCCCGCCTCCGTGCGTTGCCGTGCTTGTTCTTGTCGCTCCAGCAAGTCTGAGTTGTTCTGGCCAACGGGCCGGCGTCAAACTGAGAGTGAATCCCGCAAAAGCACAGACACCCTGATCGCTCTGATCCCAGTTGCCCGCCCTGTTCCCCTCCTTTTGGGGCCGTGTTCCCAAACCATTAGGCATGACCCACGGAGCAAGGCGCCCTGGGAGTGTACGATTCTGGTTCTCAAACACGGAAGGCCCAAACGCCCATTCTAAATGTATCTAAAACACATATCCCCAGACTATTTTGGGACGGACTCATATGGGTATGACTCAAGACGCGTTCAAATCATTTGATATACAATGTTGCAGGGACTCCGCAACGAGCCACCCACGTTCGGGGTTGTCAGATTTGTCGGAAGTGAACAAATGTGGTCAGCACTTTGCTCACGAATCCGCCGCCTGCCTTCTCACGTGAGGCCTCGATCTTGGTGTGGTTCGCCCTCCACTTCTCCATCGCCTGTCGCAAAGAACGCGGAAGCGATCCTGCCCTCCCTTCCCGAGCGGAAGGTGGATGGCCTCTGGGTGATGCTCCAAACAGAGGTCCTAAAAATGGTTGGTCTCCCTCTGGTTTCCCTTTAAGTACCAACCAACAGGGGATCCACGAGTTGAGGACCTCCCACAACTGCAAGTGGGGAACAGCTTTCGCAGCCCGGTTGCCAATTCCAATTCAGGACTGTCGGAGTCCCGAATTAGATGCCAAACATAGACACAACGCCACTTCCCCGAAAAAACATGGAAGGCGCCGAGCCTCCAAACGCCAAACGGGACCCTCGGCCCATCCTCTTCCTGTCGGCCTTTTCGAACCGCCCCACGCTGGCCTTCTTGGTGATCTCACCCGCCGACTTGGACCTCGCCTTCTGCAGGTCTTGTCCTGCCTTGATGCAGGTCTTGTAGTGGGCCTAGAGATGGAGGCACGGAAAACCATCCAAAACCCAGTTGGAAAATCCAAGCCACCGCGACCAAGGAAACCATTTGTGACTGAAGCACTATCATTTGCCCTGGTGTTTCCAGATGCCAATTGAGAAACCATTGGTGGAAAATCAAACTGGCTGCCTTCTACTGTGTAGGCGCAACTTAGAACTCCGTCAGTGGTCCGTCAGGGCACGAAAGGGCAAGGGGCAAAAATGCACACTCGCGAAGATGGTTGGTTCGCAGGCAAGTGTTGGGACGAAGCCTGCTGACCAAAGAAGAATGCAAATCTCAAGAGGGGGCCCCAACAAATTTGAGCGCCGAAAATCCATTACCCAACTTGCCTTGAACTTTGCGTGGTCCTCGAGCTTCCTGTCAACCCAATCCTGAGACAGGCAGACCAGGCACATGGTGGGGTCTGCCTCAAAATGGTGAAACCTCTCTTTAGATGGCATACGGAAATTACCAAAACAGTAACACTTGGTGGCCCATCTGAAAAGGAAGCCAAGACGATGCGCACACCATTTGTAAGGAACTCACCGCCACGTAAGCTGCGGTCAGAATGAGATGTTTGTTCAAACGGGGTCACAAAAGGAGCCAAAGAGGCGTCCGCTTTTTGAACAACCCAGATCGTGCTGCAGATTCATTGTTCGCACCCCTGCTCATCTTTCACCGCTCCGTTTCACTCATCAAAGCAACTTGGGAGTGCATCAACAAGGAGGAGGCATTCCCATTCGAGAAACGCCCAAAGCTCATGGACGTTTGGCTATGGACTGAATAAGATCCCCTAACTAGGGAGTCGAGCCGAAATGATCCTCTCTCAAAAAAAAAAACTTGAACAAGGTGACCCAAAAATTAGTCACCCCCTCCAAAATCATTGGAAACCCAAAGAAATCCGTACATGTTCAGGGAAACCCACGGTGTTTTTGGCCCGTTTGGTGCACGCGAAGACGCCTTGGGGTCCGAATCCCCCCCCACACCGCCTGCGTCTGGGCATAGATTCTCACCTGTCGCTCCTGGAACTTGGCCTCACAAGCTGGGGGGTTGTTCTAAATTTTTGGGGTGCCCTCTGTTGAGGCAGACCCTATGTTGAAACACCTTTGCTTTGAACAGCCTTCGGGTTCTCAGGGGACGAGGGTCTGCTCCAAACTGAACTTGCCCGCTGGCGGCATTCGGGGAGCAAACAACGGCAGGGATCCTTACATTATACACCCGAACATTGCCTTGCAAATGGTGGTTTCCTTTTATTTGGGTGGAAAAAGCCATGTTTCAAATGAGCAAAATGCAATCTTTTAAGGAGCCCTGAACGGTACAACTGATTCAGGGCTTTGTCCATCGGCGGTAGGCGTGTCAGTGTCAAACAAAACCTGGGTCTAAAACCAGCTAAAGAGCGGCAGCTTCTTGGTCCGGGCTGTCCCCGCTACACGGAATGGCTTTGATGCATTGGGTATGGTACGGTTTGGCTTCCTACTCAGCCCTACTCAGCTGGCCATGGGTCAAAATCCCGTACCCCCAGAGTGAACATCCCAATCCAACCACTAAAATAGGTTCTAAAATGGGTGGTGAATTTACCTACCCCATTTGTTTTGACAACCACAGCCAGCTCTTTTTTCCGGGTCGAACAAGCGGCGCCTTGGAAGGCCGAGGTCGAAGAGTTGTCCAAGGCCCGGCCTGGGACTGCTCGGCCTTCTGGCGGCACTCCTCCTCGATCTCCTGGCGCCGCACCTGGACGGCTCGAGAGCCGCACGGAAGGGACAAAACAAAAGGCCGCGGGTTCTACAGCCACAAAGAAAGGATGGACAAGCCCAGGCCTTTTGCTTTTTGCAAGGAAAAACCAAAAGACAAAAAAACTTCCAAGAAAGATTGGAAGGCTCAAAGCTCTGGAAGGATTGCTTCTGGGGTTTGTTGCGTACTAAAGAAAGGATGGCTCAAACCGTGCATTCCCACAAAGGCGGACACCGAAGCCCCGTTTTTGCAAACGGGCGACCGGCGCCTGGAGCCGTTCCTCCGCAGTCTGGCTTGCAGCTTCGATGCTCGCCAGCAGCGCTTGCTCGCGCTCCAAGGCCTCAAGGACCCCAGTGGCATCTGCAGATTGACGTGGAACCTAAAAGGCAATTCTAGATGCCACGTCTGGTACGCCACAATGTATGTTGGTATCTCCAGAGGGTACGTGGCATCCTAAAATTCTAGACACAATGGTATGCCTGGGGTCATCGACATGGAACCATCACTCAAAGGACATTCTAGACACAATGGCTTGCTTGGTTCCATGGATTCATGTGGAGTGCCCTTGATTCGGTCGGAGACTCGAGGGACCCCGTCGCCTGATCAAAGCATTTCTGCCTTCTCTGTACGCCAAGCTCGAGCGTATCTTTGAGGCCCTCCTGCGCGCGGAATCTCTGAGCTGAGAATCTGGGAAACCGCACTTCTTAGATCTTCTTGGATTATTCCCGTCAATTTGGCTGATCTCTGCTGCACTTGTGTAAAGAAACTTACCTCTTCTCGATCTGCATCTATCTGCCGCCTCCACACAAAACTTGTCGCAAAACCCTCCTTATCGCTCCGATCAACAGTAGCACGAGCTGTGTCCCTATGAATCCTTTGTGTAAATGGTAGGGTCACACCACAAAGAGGGCCGGGGGGCCGAACATTTTGACATTCCTCGGGCAGACACGCCTTGGAGTACATCTTGGCTCGCGTGGAGCGCGCCTGACGAAGCAAAACAAAATCGAAATGAGCACTTCCCGAAATTGGAGACACCGAAAAAAATAGCCAAAAGAGGTCATAGAGAGAGAGAGAGGGAGGTGTCACATGCTCAGAATCAACGTTTTCATTTGCAAGCGGCTTCCACAAAACCAACTCCTATAAAAGCACCTGCTTGACGGAAAACCTTGGGATGCCACCACATCGTCGCTCGACGTTCCAGCCAGATTTGTCCGGGACCACTAGAACTCAACCCATGAAACATCTTGCAAGAGGGGCGTTCAAGCCCAAACCCCCCCCCCCCCCGGGTGTGCAAAAGCAAGCAGGCTGTCCCCTTTCACCCTTGTTGCTGTGGAAGGATGCTCTTCAAGGACCCTGTGCTCCAACTCAGCCCCGCGAAGGGGTCGATGGCTCTCCGGCCTTGTCGATCCTTGACATGAGATCTTCGTAGGTCTCATCCTCCCACTTCGCTCGGTCTCTTGCTGTCTTCTGCACTTGGGCTTGTCTTTTCTCCTCAGGATGAATCACCAAGCGTATGGCACCAAGTGTATGGCATGTTTTTGTTCAGCCCTTAGCACATTCCATGCGCTAGCGATTTGCCATGTCCATTGGTATGGGCGCGAAGGTGCCGCACCGAAATCACTCAAGGCCATCATTCTGATCGTCTCACTGAATCACTAGCTGAGGTGTGGTACACCTTCCGGCGCTGTGAAAAACCGTCTCCTGGGCTTTCGCATTCTCCTTCTTTTGAGCCTCTATTGCGTCAGCCTCAGAGATTCGCTTCTTCGCTTCCGTGCCACAAGGACGAGAACAAGCGTGAGTCCCAAAGCATATTTTGGTCTGAACCATCTGGCAGCTGGCTCCCCAAGTGACCCTGAAATGGGTGGTTTACCTTGGGTTTTCCTTCAAAACAACCCTGAAAAGGTGTACACTCAAGACAGAGACATGGGAAATGGAACCCTGTCTTGAGGTGACCTTGACATCTTGACCCTGGGACCAGCAGGTCCGTCGTGTAACCGGGGAAATGGACGTTCTGTCCGCTTCCTTTGGAACATCCAACTTCATGAAATAAGTTTGCCTCGTTATTTTGAGGGTACCATTTTAGGGTGGATGAGGGAAACCAAAAGAACACCTTTTTTTTGGCTTCCCCCCTATTTTGCTACATAACTGACATTTCCAAATCTGGGATCCTCATGTAAAGGCCTGGTATATCCCCAAATAAGCTCCCCGTGGAATCGAGGGGATTCTCGTCGCCCGCCTGTGCTTTCTTGTACTCCTTGAGGCGCTGCTCTAAGGCCGCAATCTGGGCAGACACCCAACTTACTTCGTCTCAAGGCAACACACACACACACACGCGCAAATACCCACACCTTGGACCCATCTGCCCCATGCCGGTATTGCTTTGGGTTGCTCAAAGTGTGTTTTTTGTCGAAGATATGTTGCGGTTAGTTTGTCTAGTTGGGTTTTTTCTTGGCTCTGTCAAGCTCTTTGGGCCTGGTTCTTTCAACCAATTTCGCCCCGGCCCCTGGGCAAGTGCGGGGCTCACTTCTCGCCTTGCGGTCCGCCTCGTCCAGCCTCTTCTTTTCCTCGGGCGTGAAGCGCGGGTTGGCTCACGCGCCTACTGGCATGTGGAACAATCTTTGGGTGGATCTGCAAGGGGGGCAGACGAGGAAGGAGAGAGAGAGAGAGAAAAAAAAAATGGCGCAAAGGGGGGCCGGGGCCGCTGCATTCGAAGGGCCAGTCTATCAATGAAACACAATCAAAGAAGGGCCCGAATGCTTAAACTCAGCCCAGGGCCATGAGGAAGCCGGAAGCCAAGAGGGCGGCTTTGCGCTGCTGCTCTTCCTTCACATGGATCGGATGGTGGACGAATCGGAGAATCTGATTGCCCGCGCCTGGATCTTTTGGAACCTCGGAAGAAAAGGCAAAGAGCACACGCAGAGCCTTTGGCACATATTTGCTTGGGTTTGCCTGTTTTGCCACCTCCGCCCCTTTTTTTTTCGGGAAAGAACCTCCTGCTCCAGATGGATATTGAGCTCTCGCACGTTTAACGGCACCGGAGAGCATCGTTCTGAAGCTCTGGGGCTCCAAGGACTGGGCCAAGCTGATCAAACTGGTCTAAACACCCTGATGCTTAAAGCAACCTCTTGTTCCCCCGGCCCCCAACCCAAGACCAAGCGTTGCTATCCATGTCACAAAAAGGTACCCACAAATGGATTTCGGCGTTCCTCTCGGCGTTCCTTTTGGTCAAGGACGTGGATCTTTAGATACTTCGGATGCCGAGGGGCGCTTTTTGCCGCATCTCCTCGAAGGCTTGCATGCCATCCAAGGCCTCCACCTGACTCGACGGGATCTCGAGATGCGCTCCGAAAAAACAAAACAAGAAAACAAACAACGGATTACCCGCTTTGGCTTGGTTGTTGTCAGTCATAGTGCCAATGGGAATTCATTTGTAAGAGTACTTGGAAGAGCACTCTTTTCGACTGATCTTCCAAAACTTGCCTTGGATGCACATTGGTGAAAGGAGGCATAATCCTTGGAAAGTGTCTCTGAATCCCTACGAAAAGGAGCCAAATGGAGCCAATCCCACTAAGTGGCCAAGGGTTTGGGGCACTGCTCAGTCGAGAAGCTGCATCCTATCTCCGTTTGACTCATTTCAATTGGACCGTGGGATGCAACACTGCACCAGGGGTTGCTCCATACTCGTTCACCATGGCAAGGTTAAACTAAGAGTTCGATTTCTACTCAAGCGCAATCCATTCATCATCAAGCAGTGCTCGCTTGAAGTGGGCCCAACAAGTCCCTTTGGTGTCCGTTCAAGATGGCGGGGGTTCTCAAATCAGTGGTCCCACAAACAGCTGGCTTTTTTGTTGGCTTCCTTACATACCAACCAAAAGAGGGTTCGCCATTTTGAGAAACACGTAGAAGGGGCCGAAGATGGCCCTGGTTTGACACCATTGGCGAACCAGGTCTGCTCATGCCAGGGCGGCCGGAGGAAGATCTTCCTCGGTGACCTTGGTCAGAAAGGCTCACTCACGTGCAGCACGGTTTGAAATGGGCCCATTGTTCGGGTCCTTGAACAGGGTTGCTGGAAGGATGAATCCAAGAGCATCCTTCAAATGGCCCAGATGTGGGGTTGTGTCAAATTCCTTTTGGCAGCCCAACCCGCCAATTATTCTCCAAACCACCCCAAAAAGGGTACTCCCAAGAAAGACACACACCCATGTATCCGTTTGAGGAACCCTCGACAAGACCGCCCCCTGTGACGGGTGGCAGTTGGCCTCACATCCGGACGCGATTTGCCGCCGAGCAGCCATGCGCACGCCTTGGCCTGGGAAGGGTCGCTCGTGCAGCGTCCAGTAAAACTGCAACCTGGTTGGGGATTTGCCTTTCTGCATGAATAAATATTGATTTATTTATGTGTTTAGTGATTTATGTATTTATACAGTGTCTATACATATATATATATATATACACGTGCACAATCTACAGTGTAAAAGCCACTCTTTCTCTTTGTGTATATATATATATATATGTATGCCTATGATATAGGCGAAGCTGACAGGGGCACGCCGCTTTCACCCATGGCCCTACAACGAGTTAGGATCTCGGCGCTTTGAGGCCAAGTGGCCAGGCTTGGCCCGCATGACCCGCCGCGCATCGTCGTCGGACATGACTCGGCACGTGATCGAGCCGCGGGCAACCTGCCTGACCCTAATTCATGAGAATATTTGACGACAGCCCCGCAAAAACTACACATTTCCCCATGAGGGCATGGGAAAACCCCATGCTCTCCCCAACTAACAGTCGACGACCGGTGGTTTTGTCAGTTACTCATGTGCAGTTTGTCAGCTCTGGGTCTCTGCCGGGCTGAGGTGCCAGCATTGCAGCCGCCGCTCCACTTCTATCAGTCGAGCCTTCCTCAAGCCCTGGCAGTCGAGTTGGCCTTTCTGGAGAATCCCGAAATTTGACCCCCCCCCCCCAACAGCCCACACATTCATACATCCATGTCCTCAAGGTACCCCAGAATATGTAATTGAAGCGATCGGATCCTTTGATCCGATGAGCTCGTTGCCTCCCAGACCTCCACTCGCTCCTCCTTGATCTTCTGCGCCTGCGCAAGAGGAGTCGCCGGGAGAAGAAAACAGCAGGCCGAATGGCCCCCACCTGCTTCGGATCTGGAACCTTGGAGCTGACCTGTCGGAGTGGGAGTCCACTCCGGCTTGCGTGCAGCGCAACACCGTGCCTCCACGTTCTGGTCTTTGGAACCGTCGAGATCCTGACTGTCGCGGTGAAACCAATTGGGGCCCTTCCAACTGGCTTGCACCCGTCAAATATAGTAACATACATACATATATACCGAAATCACGAGAGCAGCTGCTTCGGACGGCTACCTAACTAGTCTAAAGTTGTCCTGGGGTCAACTGAGTTGCGGGTTTGAAGATTGGGTGTCCAAAAATAAGGGACCCGCCACTACCGGTTGGTCCCGCCACCCAAAACGGTCTCTGGCCAGGCTTGACTGCAATGCTCCTCCGGAGTCAGCCCTAACCAGGTCATAGCTGCAAGCACCCGCTGCATGCCGTGCCTCCGAAGCCGACGCGGCAAATCAGGCCAAGTGGACGTGGTAGCTTGTTGCCGCGCCGCGCACAGGCCTGTTTTGCGGATCCACCACCGCCTGGATCTTGGCAATGACATTGTTCCTTGGTTCAGGATTGGGAGCGACAACGGAAGAGCGATACGACAAAGCAACACAACGCCACTTGTTTTTCTCTGGGAAACGGCACTGTCCCTTGCTCTTAGAAGTCAGATTCTTGTGAGTGCGAGTCTCAATGTTGATGCTTCCCAAATGACTGACCCATTCCTTGTTCAAACCTCTACAAAGCGGAGAGAGGAACTTCACAGGATTCCAAAAGTTTCAAGCGAGCTTTTCAGGGGAAGGCAGTCTTTCTGGGACATCAAACTAACATACGAGCCAATTAGATGCTCAAGCCAGACCCGGTTCCCGGCCCGAAAAGGATGCCCCTTGGGGGGGTCCCAGGTGCCGCCCCGTTCTTGGCAAGCCGCTTCTTCTGGCTCGGCCGGAAGGAGCCTCGATGCGCGCGCGCTGATCCAGTTCAGTTTCAGGCACCTTCCTTGGCCCGCGGCCGCTGGCCAAGGACTTGCCCTTGGGAGAGGAGGCTGCCTCAGAATGGAACGAAAGCAACGCAGGATCGCAAAGCATTCCGCGCCTCGGCAGCTGCCATTGCTGCTGTGTCTTGCTGGCTTGAGTGTGTGTGTGTGTGTGTGTGTCTTTGTGTGGCTGTATCTTTCACAACGTCTTGGAATGATCTGCGAGTCTGAACTCTGCATTGCATTCCGCCCTCGGGCCAGAAGGCAGCGAGGCCGACAGTTGTGCGAGCGCATGAGGGTAACACACAGCTGAGCCCTTTGGGAAGCCCAGAACATATCCTCAATCAGAACTCCCTTTTGAGGCCTTCGGCTTTCAGGGCGCGTTAGCTTTGCGGCTTGGGGCAAGGCTCCAATAAAAAACAACACCACACGTCCTGCCAAGGCGCGTGTTCCCATTCGATTCGCACTCATCAGAAAAAAACTGTTGGAAGACATTGACGTGAGGGGGCAGCACATTGAGATGTCAATGTTTGTTTGTTGAGGGTACCCTTTTCAAGTTGTAAAACGAAAACTGAAATCCTTTTTTTTTTTGGGGGGGGGGGGGTCTCATCGTTTTGACGCATACCCACATAACGGCGAACTCTAACAGGGGCCCCAAGGGTGGACATGATTTTGTGGGGATTCATACCCCCCAACCACGTTCGGGGTGGTCCCGTAGTCAAGTTCATAGCACGCGCCCGACCCTGGCACCAGCTCTGCGCCTGGGTGCCTTCACAGCCCGGCCACCGGCGGAAGCTGATGGGGTCCTCACGAAGCCCACAAACCGGAACTTGAAATCCCCCCCCAAGAAAAACAAACACTTTAGGCGGAGAGTCAGTAAAGGGGATCTCTTTACATTGTCCTAGGTGGTCGAACATGATAACTTGAAACCAATTTACGAGACTGCACAAAGCCTGGCGAATTGTTCAATCGCAAAGGCACTGGCGGACGATTGACTTTTCAAGAAACATGCATGTAGCGCAGGTGCTGCACTTTGGGGTGAGTACAAAGCTCACAAAATCATATACAAAGAAGCTGGGTTGCATCCAAACGAACGTGGCAGGCAAGGTTGCCAGATTCGCCTCGCGATACCATTCGTGCTTGGAAGCGGAAGCGGGAGGCTCAAGGCCACACTGGAAAGCCAACCTGACTCTACCAACAAAGCGGTGCCGAAAATAGGGTACATCAACCCCTCTGACAAACCGCTTTCGCGGAACCTCGCGACGCTTTCGCGGCCACAAGTTTCACTTTCGCGAGCATGTGTTTTGTAATGAGTACTTTCGCGGAGCTTTTGCGGGCAACACAGAAACTGCAAACATGCACGATCGCGACGCTTTCGCAGCGGGCTCTTCTTCAAACAGTTTCGCCGCACGCTTTCGCTTGCTTTCGCGCCCTGCGTTTTAGCTTTCGCGGGGCTTCGTTAGGAGAGGCCCTCGATCAACTCCTTTCATAAGGGTTTTTGGCGCTGCCCAGATGCTTTTGCATGGCTGAAGTAGCTGCCATGCCAGGGGAGGGAGAAGTCCTTGGCCTTGGCAGTTTTATGAGAAGTTCGAGGTCACTTTCGGTCAAGGCCAAAGAACATAGAGACGCACACGACCATCGAAGAAAGCAAATTAACCAACAAAAAAAAAGGAGGAGAGAACCGTAACAAAAGAAAAACACCAAAGGGAGCCAAAACCGTAAAACCCAAAGAGTCGACTCAGCCGCCCAAAGCTTTGGGCACTCGCGACAGTCTCGGGCCCGGGTTTGGCCCCGGGGCCCCGGGCATCTCGAATGGTCTCAATGGAGAGGGCCCCGTAGCGGCGGTCGTACTTCCGGTCCTGGCGGATCCGCAGCCCCAGGCCTGGAAAACAGATGTTCAAACAAATATACCCGCTGGCCACAGGCTCACATCCCCTCAAAGGAACCAATAACCCATGGCTCCTGGGTGGTTTGCGGGTGAGACTTCTAGTGCAAGGTGCGGTTCTTGAAGGTGAAATGGAGACCAACAGTATGGGAACTTTTGGTCAACATATCGGGCGCTGCAGCGCAACCACCAGGCGGTGAGCTAAGAAACCGCCGGGGGGGGGGGGGGGAAGGTCCAATCCCGAGCCGCTCCGCAAAGGTAATGGCTCCCGCTCACCTCGGGGGTGACTTGCGAGCCCTGGTACTTCTCATTGCTCTTGTTGCAGTTGTCCTGTCGGCTGTGCGCAGGTCGTGAGGGGCCCACTGCAAAGCCCAAAAAGGATCCTTTGAGGAGAGTAGATCAACCCTTGCTCGCATCATCGAAGACAGAAAATGCGGCCCCAGGGCGGGTCCGGTTGTTACGATCAAAAGGGCACCAAGGCTCTCGCGAGGTCAACAAAAGATCCAAGCCAACAGGACGCCCCGTCAATTCCACACCGGGCCAAAAGGCTTCGCCAAAGCTGCTTTGTTTCTGCTTGGGCTCCCAGCCGCCAAGCAGTCAAAGGACCTGCGCCGGATTCAAAGCAACCCTCCCTCTTGCGTCACAAAAGGCGGACATTTTGAGGCCCAAGCTGATGCGACTTGGCATGGTGGCGCCGCCACTTTCCGCTGAACTCGTTGCGGTGCAGCCTCGTCACCGGAAACAAAACGCCCATCGATCCCATGTGCGGCGGCCCCGCGAAAATCCAACTCAAGACAAATGGCCATGGGTCAAAATCCAAATCGTACCCCCAGTGAACATCCCAATCCCCACTAACATAGGTTCTAAAAGGGGTGGTGCACCTATCCCAACATGGGATCACCACAGCCAAATGGAACTTGAGGGCTTCGTCCGGGATCTACTTGAGCGAACGAGGCCATCGCCCACCGCGTAGGTTCAGCTGCCAATCCGCGCTGTGTGCGGCCCCAGAGGAGACTCTGGCAAGCCCATTGCACCTGGCGGGTTGCTTCCCTTGTCTTAATTCAAGGGGTTGCTCTGTGAAACACCTTTTGGAAGTGAAAACCAACCGGAAGTCGTCAAGTTTTGTTGCCTAAGGTCCCTGTAGGTGCATTTCCAGGACAAACAGTGTGGGCGTTCGCAAGGGAAGCTCTGCTGAAATGAAGGGAAACCCCGTTTGGCAGCAAAGTCGCTGGGTGGAACCATTGAAAGGAGCCAACCAGCATCATCCAAGCCCAAGCTCTACAAAATGCCAAAGTTACCAAACCAGATTTCTGATTTCTACAAAATCACCTACCCAAGCATAACTCCTCAACATGGCCCGCAAAGAAACCAACAGACATGTAGCTTCTACAAAATGCGTGACTTCTGTACTTCTGTACAACTCATTTTGTAGACCAACAATAGCTTGCTACAAAATAAGTTTACTACAAATGTATGCATCCAACTGAGGCGTGCCCCCCCCCCCTGTAACTATTTCCAACAAAAAAAGGCAGGGAGATCAACACCTCCCATTCTATAGGGGAAATAATCTGCGCAGCATCTCGCGGGGTTGGCCGGCCAGTTTTTGTTTTGTTTTGTTTGTAGTTTGTTTTTCAGTCTGTTTGCACAGTTTTGCCGAGTTACCTGCCAGTCTTCCGAGTTGTTCCCCATTTGCACCTTTTCCAAGTTCTTCCGGCGTTGGGAATTTGTCCGCTCTCAGTCTTCCGGTCAGTCGTCCCTCTTGTTTTCCCCTTGACTTTCCTTTAACAGTCCATCCTTTGTCTTTCCCTTTAGGTTTTTTTTTGTTTAACATTGGTTTCCCTTTCGTTTCCCCTTGGTTTTCCCTTTGGACTGGTTTTCCCTCCCCTTAGAATTGCTTTAGTCTAGAGTGCTGGCTTTCAGGCGGATTTTCAAAAGTCTAACAACCTCATCCAGCTGGCATTCTGAAAGTCCTAAGCTGCCGAATGTCCGCTTCTTCGATTCCGGAGCCAATCCCATGCGCGGGCAGCCTCTAAGATTCCGGCTGCCAACCCAACCCATCCCGTGGCCAAGGCAGCCCAAGGCACATGTGCGCCACATTGGCAAAGTTCTGGTATCTTCCAACTGTCGGGGTCTCCCCGTGATACCTAAATGCACAGGGCTTCTTCCGCTGCTCGATTCCCTTGGGAGCTTTTTCCATGAGACCCTCTTCGTATTCTTGAAAGACCAAGTTGGCAGAACTGCAACAAGCTTTGGGCGCAGTCTTTGCAAGCTACAGAAGTGACTTCCAGAGGAAGCAATCCATTCAGTGGTTTGGATATCATGCTTTCAACGAAGGCCTCCTCTCCCTCTTTTACTGCTCCAAGACATCATGTAGGTCCATGCCGGAAGTTTGCTGAATATCGAAAGTTCACTGCATCCGTTTCTATAGGCCTGGCCCAGGAAGAAGAAGCGGTGCCGGGTGCCGGTGGCAGAATTTCACCTGCTAAAAAGGGGTTGCTAGTTTTTCATAGTGGCCGATGTGAGTGTGTGTGTGTGTGTGTCATGATGGGGTGACCCAAATGGTGCTGGTGTCCTTTTGGTTTCCCTTTCAATGCCCTCGAAAAGAGACAAACCCAGGTGTCAAACACAACCCTTCCGTTGGCTGGTTGCTTCAGCTATCTGAGTCTCGGGCGGGCCGTCTGGATGCTCTGGAGCTAAGGGCTCCCGCTTTGTTCTATCTCGGGCAAACGGGTGCTCAGCTGGCTGATTCATCGGGGACCCTTTGGTCATCATGGATGGGATTCACTCCGGCCAACCACTTTTGATGTTTGTTTCTGATGAAAATTCATGGCCAGCCAGGGAGGATGCTTTGATGTTTAGGCAAGCCCGTAAAGAGACTACCATCCACAGATGCTCTGGACGAGGTGAGAGACTGTGCTTCTGGCTCTCGGCCAATTCCGCGGTGTGCAAATTCGGCGCGGAGGCGGATTTCGCCTGGCGAGGCCGGATGCTCACCAGGTCTGCCGCATAACCGGGCTGCCCGATTTCAGATCCGCTAAAAGTTTAACTTTTAGTGGGTTGAATGGAAACGACCAACACTAGGCGAAAAAGCTGAGGAGATGGCTGGGAGCCGAGTACCATGAACACTGAGCGCGGCCTTCTTCTTTTCTCTTCGCCCTTGGCGGAGGGTGAGGTTCCAATCCTAAGCAAGCGATAACGCAGACATGAGGGCAACCCCATTCCCGCAAGAGGGCGCTGCTTTCTCGACCCCCGCCTGCTTGCAACAGCAAGCCAAAGAAGGTTGGGGGTGGGAAAGGACAGGGTGAGTTCGCACCAAAGGAGTTTGGCAAACACACTAAGCCCGTATCGATCTGCGTTCGGTTGGCAGCTCCTCCCTGGTACACATGGCCTGGGCAACACTCCGCATGGCTCAGCATGGCACCGTAGCTCCACAAGTGCCGTCGGCTTACAGCCCCGGACCAAATTACTTGTTTTCCTAAGAAGACGTGGACACATTGGGTGGGCTTTCTGGTTTTGTGTGAAATTTGGGTGGAACCCCCACGGTCTCCCCAAACCAACAGCAAACGCTGATAGGTTTGTCAGCTGCTCATGATCTAAGCCGCTGAACAGCTACACAACTCACAAGCAGAAGGTCGACCCTTTGTTTCGGCATGGCTCGGAGACAAATGAATGTTCCATCAGCAAACCACCGAGTTGCCACACGAAAATACAAACTGTGATCAGATGAACAAAGTCTCTGCCACGACGAACTTCTACATCCAACAGAACGTTGGGCAAATAAGCTTTCTCGGCGTTGACAAGCAGAGGATTCATTCGGCTCCTCTTGGTTTCCCTTCAACCATCAGCAGTACCCCCATTTCCGGACAGCACCATATTGATCCCAAGCACACTGTTGACCCAGGATTAGTAACCCCATGGTCATCTCATAGGTGTCCAATCTCAGCAGGAAGGTTTTCACTTTTGGAGAATTCCCGCTACTAATCCGCCAGATTGACGAGGTTCGGGGCCGCTGGACGCCTTGCTTGGAACATCTGGGGCCAGGGCGGAATTGATTGTGGTTCCTGGAGGCATACCTGGAGTCGTCCGTGCAACAGGTGCCTGACATTGGCAAGTATGTCTTTGGCGCGTGTCCCTAGGCCTATTTACCCTTGCCCAAGGGAAATGGGGTGTGTGTCAAAAATGGGATCCCTCCTCTCTTTGAAGCCAAGAAAAAGAGTGTTGCGAAAAGCAAAAATAACACCCACACCCACACGCAAACCCACGCACGCGCACACCCACACCAGCACCCACCCGCAGCCACCCACCCGCACGCACTTGGAACCGTACATCCAACCGTCTTCGGGCAGATTGGACTCATCCCCCCAGATCTAAGGTTCGCACAGCTTCTCCCCGATGATGTCGGTATGGATCCTCAGCTTTTTGGCAGGGCCCACCTTTTTCGTTGATGAACGCACCCGAAACCCAGGGTGGCTTTTGGAAGCAAAGGAGCCTTGAGTTTTCACGTGTTTGTGGGGCACAAGAACGCGGGAAGCCCGGTTGCTGGGATCCCGGAAAACAGCTTCGGTTTGGGCTCGGATCCTAGCAATGCCAGAGTGAATCGTGGGAGTCCCATGGATGTTCCTCAGATTGTCCCCCTTTTGAATGGTGGCTGAAGCAATACCAAACAAACAAAGCATTACCACCTTTGAATGGTGAGTGAATACCAAACACCACCAGCCCATCTTTGAATGGCCCGTGTCCTGCGTCCTGGGTTTCCTAAGAGCCCGGCTCTAGAGGAACGCTCATCTTGCTCCTTGGCTGCAACTCGAAGGCTCAAAGCTCACTCGCTCAGCGAATAGAAGGCTTCAATGCTGGTTTATGTAGGACTGCAATGATTGGAAGACGAATGCGTTACAAATGATTGCTCAGTCTGCATCGGCATGACTGGCATGTGTGATACATGTAGCTCTGAGTCTTGGACCACTGTATGGACCCTACATTGCCATTGCGTGAAACGAGGCTGCAAAAACGGCCCGGTGCCGGAAATGCACAGCAGTGCAGCATTCCAGCAACACATGATGACGCGGCTGTGGGGAAGTTTGGGATCGCTTCCAATAAACTCAAACATAGGCCTTCCCTGAAAGCCTGCCAAACTTCCACAAATCCCCACATTAGCCGCCTTGTGAGCCAAACAAAGCGGCTTTTCTCCTGCGTGATACCTTCTGTGACCAGTCACAGGAGCGGCTTGGAAAACAGCACATCCTGTGATATTTCCAAGGGAACAAAGCTGTAAGGGCCACGGCGGGAAACGCATTGCTTTGAGATGTGCAGCTCTTGCCCACGTGGCCCAAACAGCAGAACAGCGACTTGTCGCAGCCTGCCCCAATTATCACAAAGGCACCAGATGCCGCCGCGACAAGGTCGAGGAAAGACGTGCCAAAGGCTGGCAGGGCGGCATGCTGACTTGCAGCATGCAGCATATCCAGCTGCCTCTCCAAATGACTGAGACCCCCAGCCAGAAGAAGGACATCGCCGGAGGGGGCTCGTCATTTTGACGAATGTGTCAAACCATTGGCACACAGCCTGGGCTCGTCCTTGTGTAACACCGACAGAAGGCAGCTCTTTGGATATGCGGTGCGAAGCCAGGAAACTAGCATGTCAATTGCTTAGCAACGGCAATCAGAACAGGAGGCGCCTCACGGCAATAACCCCACACTTATGTTGAATCTTGGTCTCGCTCTCCGTCAGAACTTACTCTAGCTACAGTATAAAGCCTGAACGGTTCAGAACGCTTCAGAGAGGGTACCAATTCCGTCCACTGCATGGAAATCAGTTCAGAACAGTTCAGGGAGTCAAGTTCGCACACTGTCCAACGGCTCAGACCAGTTCAGGGCATAAATTGCGTTCCATGCCCGAACGGTTCACAACAATTCAGGAGATCAATGGCTCTGGGCATTAAAGAACATTCAAAACCTCTGCACACAAACGCGAGGAAGGCTTACTGTCCAGACCGGGTCGAGGACAGCGCATGGCGGTTCTGGCGCCAACAAAAGAAACAGTCCTCTTATTCTATCCATGCTTCTTTCCTCCAACGGTCCTTTTGCACTGGTTTGCTTCCAGCTGCATGCGCTCTAGGTAACTTATAGGGGAGAGTTACGCTATGCGCCCGCTCCGAATGATTTGTGTTGAATTCACTTCTGGCGGCGGTTGCTTGCAGGATTGGCGTCGCGTCCAGGAAACATAGATCTCTTGAAATGCGAAATGGTTGAACTGGGCAGGATAAGGCAAGGATGCTTGCACATACATCTGTTCATGCCCTGCCCAAACATCTTCAAGTGCTTGATCGATATTGCGCATGTTGTGAAACACCGAAGTTGAACGTAATTCAAGAGTCGTGACATCAGCTAACCTACAGCGTGCGCAGTCATGTCACTTGTCGGTGCTTCTCTATATTGGAGTTTTTGTGTTTGAATGGAGTATCAGTGACTGTTCCATGAAATCATTTACTTGTAAGCAATATGTGTTCACACGGCGAACCTACATGCTTCTACGGACCGGACTTTGATCATGCTGAATAGGAACAACACATATAAATCGTGGTACTGTTCGGCCTGCGTTGAGACATACCCCGAGTTGTCGGAGGTGGCGTGAAAATTGCCGGTATCTACGTAAGCTGCGTGGGCATCTTGAAACTGGTACATTTGATTGTACACATACTTGTTGTTGTACATGTGTTTCAACGTTGATCGTAACGTATAGCATACCTAGTTACCCAGCCTCTGCAGGGCCCATTAGATTAACAGAAACCTCGCAACAAAGAGACCAATATTCGCTCCCAGCAATCCATTACGGTCTGCTCACGGATCACTTGCAGTCAGTAGCACTTCTGCAGAACTGGAGCCCGAGACGACGAAGTTCTCAAGCGGTCGCACCTCAAGTCATTCCACCTGTATTTGCGCAACTCTGCGTTGCAAGTGCTGGCATGCGGGGCCGTCATCGAATTGGAGACTATGGGAGATGGGCGGCTTCCCCAAAATCGGAACTCAAACAAGCTTCGTTCCCCAATTGGGTGTGGCTCAAAATTAAACAGGAGGGGTTGCGCAGGTTTGGTCCATGTTTCCACTTACCAGGGTTCCATTTTGGTACCGGTCTTTTGAGCCACAGCCAATTTTCCTGTGATTCGAATCCCTGCAAAGGCGCATTGATGATCAGCGTGCAGCTGGCCAACGGGACATCCCCCAAGGAGATACCGCCGTAGCCCTGTGCCTTGGTGAAGCCAGGAGATTGCTGCCGCAAAACCACATACATTGGCAAAAATGGGTGGTGGGGGGAGGGGGAGAATGCCACTATTCTCCACCCAACAAAGGGTGTCCTATTTTAACTTTGGGGCTTCCGAAAATTTGCCGCTTGCGTGCTGCTTTGCGTGAGGTGCGCCCAGGGAGTCTCAAGATCATTGCTCCAAAAAGAGTATTCATCAACCTCACCCGTGGCAAAACCAAAACCCGGCAGGAAAAGAGGTACTCCATGTCTGGTTGGTAACCCCAATTGCAGCAGGGATGCAGGAACCTTGACTGTGACGATGTTCACGCTGGCCTGCTGCGAGCAAAGCTGCCAGGCTCGCAAGCAGCGATTTTCGCAGAAGGAAATGGGAGGGGGAAGTGCTTGCCCTGAGCTGATATCCCAAAAGCTTCGGCCAGAATCCACTCTGAGAAACCCCTCTAGGTACGGTAAGAGGTCCTAAGTTTATGAGCCCAAGCTGCCCCTTTCGCGCGCCAACTGGCGATTTCCTCAATATCCGAAATATCTCGTGGACTGATAGCAGAAGCAGCTGTCAGCAAGCAACCAGGTCTTTCTCCTGCTGGAGGGCATTTGTCTGGGTGGTCCATGCTGCATTCAGATTCCCTTTTGAAGCAAAATAGACCCACGCTGGAACACAGCTTGTTCTTTTTCGTTTACCAGCCAAACGGCTGGCTGGGTGAATGCGTCTCTTGCCCCTCGGGAGTGGTTCCAGAGCTGTTGCTGACATCCATCTCCACTGGAGTCAGAATAAAACTCATGCCGGGTACGAAAGCGGACAGCCCAAAAACACATAAAGAAACAAAGCAGCAACCTTGTGCCTAAGCGGACAGGCAGCAAGCAGCTAAATAGTGTTCCCGCATCGTTTCACGCATCCTTTTGGGAAACTCGGATTCCTGCAAATATGTTTGTTGCTTTCAGACATTCGGATCCCAGCAGTCAAAATGGGGAGTTCTGCGTGGTTTCAAGGTTGCTTCCACGCCCCGAGCCTTCGCAGTGGCTTCAGGCACGCCCGAAATGGTCCCCGTCTTGGCGTCCCAAAGAAGCCCTGACAGGGAGCAACTGGCTGGCGGCGGAACGCACAAACAAAACCCACCGTGCACTGGGATAAAAACACCTGCCAACTGGTGCGACTTGGATTTGGTCCATGAACAGTAGCACCGAACACTAGCACCTGGCTCTGATAGCTAGAAACACAGGACGTCAAGAGGTTGCTATGATTACAAGGGACACGTTGCCAGCCAAACGCAAGCGAGTTTTGTGCTCTTTGTCGGGTCAGAGATAGCCAACTCGCCTCGGGGCCAAGGGCGCTCAGATCTGTTTTCGCAAAGGGAATCTTCGCGTTTCCCCTTCCCCAACCCCTTCCCCGCGCCCGCCCCCCCACCCTGAGATCGTGTCCGGCTGGCTTTTGAAATTTTCGGGGTTCGTCGGCGTCCAGCGCCATGGGCCCATTTTGGTCCAAAAAAAACCATTTGTCCCGAAAAGCATCTCTCTCAGATTTGCCGCAGGCCCAGCCCAACCAGCAACCACGCAGCCCAGGCAACCAACCCAAGCAAGGCCCAGCCCAGCCCAGCCCGCCCTGTCTGCTGGCTCCATGACTCACTCCTGGTCCTGTGCATCGCCTTGCCCTTGCCTCGGGGATTCCTGCGGGCCCATGACATCAATTGGTTCAACGAACCTGTCCATGCCTGAATCGCCACTTGACCAGCTCTGCTGCTTGCCGTCGAACCACAGACGCTGCGCGCTCGGCTTGGCCGATGCGGGCAACGCTGCGTAACCAGCTAGAAGTGCCCCAAACCTCTTGACAGTCCTGCATCTTTTGCTCGGAGGATTGTGTTGGTCGTTCTTCTGGAATCCAAGAGAGAAAGCGGCCCAACCCTGCAACCAAGGGAGCAGTGGCCTGGAAGTGACACCCTGCTTACAAGTATATATGCGAGTCAAAACGTGGACTCAATGAATTCAACCTCTAAAATGGCTAACTTTCATGCATGGAGTATGGACCTCTCTTTTGCTGGCCGCCAAAGCAGCGAAGCCGGGCGTGCCGATCACCGCGAGTTGTTGGCTCAATGTTCATGACGCTTTCACATGGATCAAAGTGTCCCCTTCGAAATGGTCTGTTTCCCGTCAGTTCTTGATCCAGCAGTCTTTGAAGCCCATCCCATGTTGGCCTTTCTCCTAGTCTGCTCTCTGCCCCTTCCTCTTGCTCCAGCCGGAACCTCCCAACAAAGACAAAGGGGCGCCAAATTTTGGGTCCAGCCCAACGCGGAACTGGGACCAATCGGACCTTCATGAAAACCCTTCATGGCACCAGATCCAAACGGATCAAAAACGCGGCCGAACAGATCGGGGCCCTGTTTTGCTTTGCGGTTCGCACCTGGAGGCAGCGGAGGCTGGACCATAAAGGCCAAGGTGGGCTCCAGGCACCGCTGGCCCTCCGCGCTGGCGTAGCTGAGCCGTGGGCCTGACGATGCCATGGCGGCTTCGGGCTTGGTGAGACCGTGGGGCGATGACATGGGCGTTGTTGTTTTTTGTTGTTTTTCTTCGGATACCCGTGTTGGGTTGTTCATTTTTCCTTTTGTTTAAGGATACCCAAGTTGGGTTCAAAGGTAAACCAAAGGGAAGACAACCATTCTAGGTGGTCAATTCCCGGTTCCGGAAGCGAACCCAGGGGAGATGGACAAAGAGACGAGGAGCGGAACATTGGGTTGAAACAAAGTCACCCGGTAGCTGTTTCGACAATGGGTCGTGGGATGTGAATGAATTTTGCCGAGCTGCGCAAACAAGTTCGAATGCCTGCAACCAGGGACAATGCAGTGGCACCTCAGATATGCGCAAGCAGTGTCAGAGCTTGCCAGGGCAAACTCTACGCATCCGTTGAGTTGCTCTCCCGGCTACAAACGGTCACATGTGCTTGCATGTGCTTGGAGTGTGCTGGCGCCAATACCCATAGTGTAAAACTCATATACACTCGGTTGCTTTCTGCTCCCCTGCTAAAAGTTTAACTTTTAGTGGTTTAATGGGAAACACATTAGTTGGCAAAAAGTTAAAGTCCTAACATCCCTTGGCAACATGCTCCAACGTACACATGCAGCCACATTTGCGTGGTCAAAAGAGTGGCAACCCAATCCATTGCCTTCCTTTGTCGAGGCAAGGCGCCTCCTTCAGATTCTCCAGCCTGCCACGGGGAGGAGCGGCAATGCTGGCAACCCTCCATATGCATGCTTTGCCGTTGGTCTCCACAGACAGCAATCCCAACAGCCAAAATAACCCAACCATGAAGGAGATTCCCAGAGTAAGTTCACAACGAGTGTTCCGGAATGGGATAGCTGGAAGCGGCAGACAAGCAAGTTTCACATTCCGTGCGTTCCCCGAAAGGCTTACCCGTCCGGCGAAGTCCCCCCGCGCCTTGTCGTAACTCAAGCGAAGCATCCCGTCGCCTCCCGGCTGCGGGGCAGCTTGGACAGCTTCACCTGACAGCTCGGTTTATAGGACATGATCAGTCTGCCCCCAACTGACATAGGATGTTGCCGGTCCGATTCCTAATGTACGCCCCCCCCCCCATTTTACTTGAAAAGAATGACAGCAACGATAGACCGGTTCTCACATGGAAATTGCGCAAGTCTCGAATTTGTGCAGGGTCACATGTCTCCAAATGGACTATACTGATAGTTTGATCCCACATAACATACTTCGCCTCCGGTTGGTTTCACCCTAAGAAGACCGACACAACACCAGTTGTGGAACGGGTTCATAGAATTGTGCTGTTCCACAAAAGGTAGAAAAGGTTCAGGCTAGTGAGAACCTTCCCTTTCCATTTTCACCTTCACTATCCCATGCAGTTGTTGTTTGCTTATTTTTTTGGGGCGGGGGGGAGGGCCCTCTCAAATCCTGGTGGAACCTCAAGCAGCTGAGTCTTTTGGTAAGGAAGCCCCAAAATGACGCTCCTCAAACCCTGAAAGGTATAGGACTGTGTCTGTCCCCCCTTCCCATTTTCGGGTTTGTCTCATGGGGGGAATGGAAGGTGCTTCATGGTTCTGGATGCAAGGTTGCCCTCAAGATTTAGCATGCTCGGGGCGTATTCAGGCCTGCCCGCTTGCTTACTTGCCTGCCCACCCGCCTGCCTCCCTAAACTGCAGCAAACAAGCCGCCAGAAAAGTCGAAAAAGAAAACAGTCGCAGGAGACTGATGCGATGTCCGACAAAAGGCTTTGAAATCCCACACTGATCCCTATGGCCATAAGGTGTTTTGCCCATGCGGCCCAGTATTCGGAACCCAGGCCTTTAGCCTCTAACTCGTCTGCTTTCGAAGCATGACAGTCGGAGTGTTCCTGCACAAGCAGGGCACCATGCGCTGCAACCACTGACCAACATTGGGGATGCATCATTCACATGGTTGCTTTTCCACCAGCCATTGAAGGTGCCCCCATTTGCCAAGGATGGCATAAACTGCGCAAGCGCGGCAGGCCGAGTGCTGGGGCAGATCTGGCCAAACCTGGCCGATCCTGGCCTCCTGCCCGTCCTTTCCATCATGAGTCTCGCCTTGGTTCGATTCAAGAAACTGCCAGCAACATGGACGCAATATGGACCTGTGCAAGGGAGTGGCCCTGAGGCCAGCGCGTGTTTGCAAAGTACGCATGATGCGGCGGTTCTTCTTGTTATTCTTCCTGGCACGCTTTGTTGTTTTGGGCAACATGTTGCAATGCTGAATCACAGAGCGTCACCCCGTCCTTGGATGGAACTCGTGGCAGAAACTGCAACCGACGCCATTTCGGCAGCCAGCTGCGCTGAAGAAAAAAAAGGTGCACTCCTAAGCGGGCCGAAGCTTCTACGCCATGCAATGCAATTGCACATTGGACAAGTGAAGCCAGGGCCAGCCGAGCGCTGCCATAGCTCCTGTTAACCGTGTTGATGTGTATGTATGTATGAATGTATGCGTGTGTGCGCGATCATGTATTTCTGCATGCGTGCATGTAGGTGTCAACGCCTTCATACAATTATGTATCTAAATTGGATGTGTTCCTTTATCCGTGTGTGTCATTGTGTCATGAATAGGTGTATGCACCAGTCTGTGTGTCACGGCCCTATGCATGGTTGTACATGTGCTGGTGCGTGCATGTGAAACCATATTGATGTTTACATGGCAAAGTACCTGTGTAGGTACATGTATATGTGTGTATGCATACGTATATGTATTTATGAATGTTTCGCGTGTGTGTCTGTTGTTGTATGTCGGTTTGTCTCTCTGTCCGTGCCTCTGCCACGTATCCGGGTAGCCAATCTGTCTAGGTGTCTGAAATGATCTGTGAACCCGTGTCACTTTGTATCTACAAATATATATATATATATATTATGTGTGTCTGTGGCGTGTGTGTGCGTGTGTGCGTGTGTGGGCAAGTGTGTGGGCAAGTGTGTGGGCAAGTGTGTGTGTGTGTGTGTGTGTGTGTGTGTGTGTGTGTGTGTGTGTGTGTGTGTGTGTGTGTGTGTGTGTGTG